CGCAGTCGTGTTTTCTTATGTTTGTTCTTTCCGATTGCAAAGCTTCCATGTAAAGTTGTGGGTGATAAGGTGCATGAATTATGTGTGAGAGATTGACGTTTTCATTCAGTGACCTTCTTTCTCCTGCACTCATCGTTCAACCATTCACAACACTTTCACGAAGATGAAGACGAATAATTGGCAACATAAAATATGTACTCCAACGTTTGGACCATGGACATATGTGGACTCAAATGAATGCTATCATTAATGGCTTGCACTCATTCACATCATTACGCACGTAAGTGCGCCCTCATCTCGGCACGCAGGGCACATGACAGGGAGAAAAATGGTCCTCGACAAGCAATAAAACTCCGTGAACAGAACACAATAATCATCAAACCCTTGTAAAGAAATAAAAAGTACACTCTGCGCAGTACTGCGCTTCAGAAAACGGGGAAAAGGAACCCCGACGCATGCATGCGTCTGTCGCACACCACAGACCCGAATCTCGTATCCATGCGGTTCACAGACAACAGTAATCGGCCGCCACCACCACATCTGCCGCCCTATGGCTTGCGCATAAACTGGGAATAAAGCACTATCAACGCGTCAATGTGAAAGCACGGATCGAAAGAAAACGAAAAGAAAAAGCGGTCRTCACCAATYTGAATRTGGATGACACAATGGAGGGGGACTACTACACTACACAGACGTTCTCCGGTCTTCRTCCGACAATGACGACGATGACTTGGACGGCATCACACAATCTACTGTCTCCTTCGTCCCTCTGCACGCTGCTTCCTTCTACTGCCGTCGTCAAATGCTCTTCCACGTACGCAGCTTACATCTACTTCCGCCCCGCGCCGCCGACATCTCTCATTGCTGCATCATTCGCTCCRCCCGCGCTTCACGCAGCATGACCACTTCCCCCGTAGAAGTTTCCATGCACAAAGGCCTGGGGGGGCGCTGGATCCCAAGATCCACTCGACAGCGAACTCCGTTGGCGTCCACCTCCCACAGCAAGTTCTCATCGAAAGGGATCCGGACGTCGATCAGGATGTTGTGCAAGATGCAGACGACCACGAACTGCTGCGGCAAGGCCTCCATGTTAGTCTTGTGCGACCCAAGGAACAACCGCCACATTCCCTTCAGTCTCCCGAAGACCCTCTCCATCGCCCCCCTCGYCGTCGTCTGTTTGTTGTCGAAACGGGCCTCGAACGGAGTCTGCGTCGTGCCGCCATAGGRGACAACCATCCATTCGCTYGRCGGGTAACCATTGTCGGCCAGCAGATAACCATTGGTCTGCACTTKGAAYGGCAGCAACACAGGAGGCCCTGTGAACAACTCGCCCGCCGCCGCACGCGACCAAAGACTAGACAGATGGATGACCCTGACGCCGTGGCARYTCCCCRGATAACCCACRAACACATCRAGGAMGCACAAGTCCAAATCCACCACAACTTGAGCGACGACAGAGAATCGTCTCTTGCGGTGGTAGTAGTCTTCTAGAGCCGSGTTCGCCGGCTTGTCGATGTAGATATGGGTGCAATCGATGCACCCRTGACAGTTCGGGAAACCCTTGTCCGCAAAAGCACGCAGAACAACCGCCTTCCGCACCCCAGTCGGCCACACCACCTTCTCCCTGTACACCGAAAGCAGCGCAGCTGTAACGTCCCGGACGGCCACCAAACCCGAAGCCCTGCCAATTCCAAAGCTGCAGGTGCTRCTCTYGTATGTCTCGCCAGACGCCCATCTGTAAAGCGCGTAGGCAACGATGTGGTCTGGCTGCAAAGGCTCTCTGTAGAACGTCACACGTTGCTCGAGAATCGGCGACAAGTTCTCAACGATCTCACGGAAGACACGTGGAGACATCCGTAATTTGTCGCGGAAGTAGTCTTCAGTGGCGTCGTCTGCAGGCCGAAGATCCTCCCAAGTTCCCCCCGTCCTTCGTTTCACCCACCACCTCGGGGTCGCCCTCCGCAGTCCCCCACACCCCAGGGCGCAGCATACCTCAAACACGGCGTCACAGATGGCGACGCTATCCAACCCTTCACACGTCGGCGACTGCATCGCCTTCCTTCTTCGAGCGTGTATCCGTGCCCACCGTCGTTTGCCTTCGACCTCCGTCTCGCAATGCATGATGACGGCGGCGACGGCGGACGTCACTGCAGCCCTCTCCAAATCGGACAACCTAGGCCCGCCCTCATCCCCGTCGCCGACCGAAAGCATATCCTATACCGAAGACATCGCACTCATCCACGCCGGCAGAAGTCGCCCAAACGACGACACAAGGTCGCCACCAATGGACACTGGCAACGAAGAAGTTCGCGAAGATGGTGTTAGGGGCAGAATGCGCGAACGCGAACACGCAAGACGGCGGCGGCGCTCACTGCTGCTGTCGTAGCCAGGGTGCGTCACGTCTTCTAATACGTGTCGACGTCTGTGCTGACGCCCAAATGGCCATTGGCCGTTTCCGCATGACGCCCACTGCAACACCCCTGCGCTTCCCCGATGGGGCTCGATGGGGCCGTCACACGCACGCATCTCCCCGCCCCACCGCACCAGACGCCACGCTTGGCCGATTCAAATTTCGAATTTTGAAATCACACGCGCGCGCGCGCAATTTTCCTTTTCCCGCGGCGGTGGGAGTCCCTTTTCAAATTCGCCGCCCATACGCGGTGGACCAAGTCCAGCCAGACGGACACCAGACGAAGGACCACCGCCCAAACACTCGTCCCGCGGCCGCGTATAACATTATACGACTCCCCGCAGCCAGTCCTCGGAGCATCCTCAGGGATCGTCCCGAGGGACGAGTGGAACGAATGCGGGAAAATCCTCGGGGAGTGTCTAACGAGCCCCTAAGACTGAGACAAGGTTTAAAAGGTGAGTAGCTCCGCAAATACAGATTTCTTATGAATGGTAAGAATTGCAGGTAATGCTAATGCAGGTACAGTTCCTTCAATTAGGTTGGGAATTCGTAGCAGAAGAATTCCTGTAGGCACTTGCCTGTAAGCTAAGCTGGCTGATGCTGTCAGTACCCTGGGTTGAATTGT